AATTTTTTGATCATGATTATCACGCGATGGGCTGTAATGACCTAGAATAAAGTTAGTATAGAGTTCATGTCTATACTCAATGTTAAATAGGGCAATGATCACACACTCGGAAGTTAGAATTATCAGTGATTATTGTTGTGTTATGCAACGTGTCCATTTCCTGCACTCCACTCCCATTTTTTTATTTTAGAAATTTACGATAAGCCGAAAAATTGTCGTATAATTTCGGTACCAGGATTCCAAATTTAATTGGCTTCGTCATGAATTCAGCAGTCGAGGCCATACTGTTTCATACAACATTTTTGTGAGAAATCTTCTTTTATCCCGATTCACACTTTTTACGACTTAAATTGATTATAAGCGACCTTTCGTAGCAGAGGTATTTAAACGGTGGAATTGAAAGTCCGTGTCCCAGGGCTCCCTTTATAGCAGGGGGGGAAAGAAGTAGGATTCGAAAGTCAAAATACTATAAAAACCTAACATAACTGGAATTAAATTATATTTTGCGGCAAATATGACCCAACACTTGGCGGAGTGTTTGAAATTTTAGGGGGTTGTTCACCCCCTGTGGTAGTGGTGTGGGGAAATCCCTGCGCTCAATCAGACATTGAAAAGCTAGTTGCCAATAAACAAAGGCAGCCGTCACATTAAATGAATATATAATGAATCATTTTTATTTCTTTTTCCAATAAATGAGCATTATTGGATGCATTGGGAGTAAACCTAGTAATCTAAGTAAAGTGTTAAAGAGGTAACAACCGTACTATAAAGTGATATAGTAGAACTCGGGTTAGATTCTCCTTGTAATACCCTAACAAGGTAGATTTCCCACAAAAATATTGTTTGCGTGTGTTTAATACGTCATCCAATCGAATTTGAAATTGGGGTACCAAATGACATTGCAATATATCTGACATTATGGCCCGCGGGCCACCGAAGCGCTTCATATGGCCCACTCGTGTCTGCTTTAATTCCGACTATAGTTTTTATAAATATAAATTTTCGTTGGAAATATCGATGTAAATAACGTAATAATGACCACGATTGTATCCAATCAAATTTGAAATCGGAGTAACGAATGACGTGACGATATTTCTGACATACCAAGAATATCCGAAAATATAGAAAAAAGTTTGTGTGAGAATGAACGGAAAAGTTGCATAATCACTTTGATTTCTAGCTCCCGTGTGTGTGATCATTGCCTGATTCAATATTGAGTAATTACCATAAACACTATTTAAACTTTATTCCCACTTTTAGAATCCATGCTCTCAACGCATGATAGCTGTTAACAAAAAAAGTAAATTCACCACACAACTCACTGTTAGAGTTGTCACAGGTATTTCCGGATGATTGACATCAGCACAATGTTTCGGGCGGCGCAATGGCCTAGCCGTAAAAACGTTCGACTTAATATATATTACACCAAGCTTGTTCGGGTCTTTCGCTCCGAATAAGGCCCTGTACATACAAGCAGTCATTGTTATCTAACGGTATTTAAGGGGTTACTGTGTTGTTTGGGAGAACCGGGATTATCCAAGGTTGACAATGCCCACCTAATTTATTACACCATAGTGCGCATGGGCATGGGAATTGAACCTGAAATGGTAATCTGCGATAACAAGTCCAAGCACTAGGACAACCCGCGGCTCGCGAGTTCCATGCGACTCCAAAGAAAAAATAACTTGCAAACTACTATTCACCACGTTTCGATTAAACATATTATGATTCATCGTGCATTGTTCTTTTACGTTGAAGATACATGAACGACTTCATTAAACCTACCTTGCAATGGTCCATCATTACGTCACAATCAAATTCTTTTTTGTGAGACGCGCACTACAACGGCTTTCTTAATCGTATCAAAAACGAAGTTCGGCGACAAACGCGCAGTCTAGCATTTGAGTAAAGTAGTTGAAGTGCAGATAAAACGTCACAGAGGTTACGTCGTCGACGACTCATTCAATTCTGAGGCGGATTGTCTGAAATTCCCACTGGTCTCAGATGAGGCTGCAACTGAGTTGAAGATGATCAATCTTCATGAGGAAGACCCGCTGAAATGCGCTTTTAATATGTATTATTGAAACATTTTTCGTTCACGCGTCCAGATAAGGCCATAATTGAATGCTTTTGAGCAGTGGTTCTCACATTTTTATGAATGATTCTTTAAACGAAATTTGGAATATTTGTATCGACAATTCAGAATACTTGAAAGTTTTTTTTTCTGTAAAATAGATATTTTTAAATCGAAAACCTATCAAATTTGAAACAGTGTAGGAGAAACCAACGGCTACCAGAACCACTCTGCTAGTGAGACTGGTCTTCCGAAGTACGTGCCCACAAGTACTTCTAGTGGACGTAGCACAATGATTTTGGCATATAATATTCCTATCCCCCACCTGACTACGTCGCCGACCATAATGAACTCACTAACGCCAGCGATCTCTCTCTTATCAATATTATCACGGCTTGAAAACGAGACAGCATTTTAAAATTTTCTTCTTCTAACATATTGGATATGCATATGGAGTATCGTAATTTAGTCTACGACGAGCAGTGGTTCTCAAACTTTTAGAATTTGTCAAGTCTAGCGTCTCCCCTCAAAAATAACTAGCTAACAATAAGCTACAAATAACAGATAATAAGGCGAAAGTTCCGATATGTTTTATTCAAAAAACACGTTAAAAATATGTGGGTGGAACGAAATATTCCAATTAAAGAAATATCCAAATAGGACGGGCAAGATCAAATCTTTGCCCCTCAAAAAATTATCTGCGCCCCCTTTGTGCGCGCTCCACCGTTTGAACCACTGACCTAGAGGTTATTTAGGTGAAATATTCTACCAAATTTAGTCATTCAGAAACATTTACTCATGTTTTTTCTCGAGCCATGTTCTGAGTGAATATGTTAACACCCATCAAAAGCCCGCCCATAGCATATAAATAATACATATATACTCCCTGCCCATAGGTTTCAGTCCCCTTACACAACTTGATGTAAAATAGGCAAGCAAAATTAGTTACCTCCATAATGGTACACACACTTCTAGAGCGCCCTAATGGCATTATAAAGAATCATAATGTAGAATTACGCCTTGGTGAATAATGAATGACACGAGACTTGAGGTAGTCAACGTCGATAAGAACGGGAAAAAGCTGTGAGTTGGTGCAGGGGTGTGCGACCTGGGGGGCGACCCACGAGAAAAAATTGTGCGGCCCGCAGAGAAGTGCCAATTATGAATGATGTGAGGCCCGCAAAACAAGTTTTTGATTTAGTTCAATCTGTTACGTGCGAGTAATTCCAATCCTATTGCGTTGCAAAGCTTATACCTGAGTCCAATTTATTGTCTATGTTTATGACGTTACAATGCCCAAACAGCTAGCATGTGCGAAGCGAACAACGCGTGTCAAAGATCAATAACCAAAATTTGGTACTCCCGAAGTATGTGAATCAAGATGGCGGGCACCGGAGCGTAGTATGTGTACCAGGTTGGGGTTAGGCCATAATTTTATCCCAATTTTTTTTATTTTAGTTCTATCACGAGTTCGGGGACTAGCCAAGTGACTCCCGTAGTATTTGTACCTGAAATTATAGCCTAACCCTAACCTGCACAAAGTGAAAACACCCTGTGAAATCAAGCAATGAAACTGGGAAGCACGAGGATTACCTTCCAAGGGAAAAATAAAATCAGTTTTACGCCCAGCATTGTGGGCCCCCTCCAACTCCAACTTCACGGCCCTCTTGGTAGATAGAGTATTCTTAAACAAATTATTTCAAGAAAGCAACCCTGTATTGAATGATTAACTTTATTAATTTCCAAAAACATGGCCAAGCAGTGGCGTAGCAAGACTCTCGTGGGCCCCCACGCAAAAATATTTTGTGAAAATGACCCTAAAAACTCTCGGACATAAGCTAAAACAACGTTTTTTTTTATTTCGTCCAAAAGCATAACATGTCGCTATAAAAAGGCAATGGTAACCTAAAATTTGCCGTTTATCTTGGTTACTTTAATTTTTTCACATGTTCTTCCTCTTCTGCCCTTTTTCTGCGTTTCTGAGCGCCACTGAGAGGTTTTGCTTTCGACATCATTCTGACAGCCTTCGTAATTTAGTCGGTGCGATCGAACCACAAGACGCCGAAAATCGCCGAAAATCGAAAATCGATCGACTGGCATTGTTACGTAACAAAACGATTTGAGCAGACCTAACATCAACGATACAAGAGTTGCATTACTTGTTTTGCACTGCAGTTTTTGGTTTGCGGCTTAAATTTCTAAATTCCAACCGCTTGGGCCCTCCCGCGACCGCGGGGGTTGCGGGAGTGGATGCTACGCCCCTGTGGCCAAGGTAAAGAAAAATATATAAATGCTATAAGACACTTCAAATAGATTGATAATCCAGATGTTGGGGTAACTTCCCTTTCAAATACACCCTCCCCATTCTCCACAGGCTTCCTAGCGCTCAAAATAGCCAATTTCAAATCCAATGTCCTCGCTCAGGAACAGAACACGAATATTTATTGCTTTTTTCAATAATTTTCAGCTTTAAGTCAGTTTGACTACTGGTGAATATTTAAAATTGGGATTAGATTACGCTTAAACTTTCGGGGGTGGGGTAGATTATCGACCCACTGTTACCAACCCCAATTTAAAAGTGAATAAAATATATAATGAAAAAATTCAATAACATGCAAAATAGCAAAAATTACGAGTAAAGCAAAAAATAAAGAAGATTGTCAAATAAAAACAAAATTTAGACAATTGAGAGGGGGTATGTGATCATATCATCAAACCGCCTCATTGACTTTCATCTCATTTACAAAAACCCGAAATCACATCCTATTTAGATTAAAATTTGACCTCGTAGTCATACAGAAGGAAAGGAAAGCCGATAAGATGAATTAATCACATATATATTGAACCACACTAAATATACAAATTACAATAAATAATGAAAAAGCATTTCATGGTGAGGGGACCCGCGGGAAACCAAATTTAGTTATCAAGCAGCGGCACTTATCGGGTATGAGAGTAGGGATGTCTCAAAAATACGGTCGGTGTCCCGAACTTGCCACACTCTTACCACTTGTGTAACAGTTGGTAAATTCCCTACACCCTAACACAAATAAAAACGTAATTGAATATTCATAAAGTGGCTTATATGCTAGTGAAGTTGATCAGTCGAATACATAACACATTTTCATAAGTTACGAATTGTTTCATCTACGGGAGTCCCAAATAACCACTGGAAATTCAAAATCAATTGGTCCAGTAGTTGATAATAGAAGCGATTTTTTCATAATAGTAACAAAAAAAGACAAAACGATCCACAGGTCTATTTCGTGTCCAATAATTAGTTAAACGTCCGAAAGCAGGCATCTTTCTTCTGCTCTTTTCAAAATATGTTCCGAGCTCAGCGCTCGCAAAGTACAAATTTTTCCATGTCCCCCCAATTACTAAAATACTGATTATTGCTATCTTTATTCTTGTTCACGCGCAGGTAGAGTAGTTGTCCGCCGTTGTTTCTTGGAAAGCTTTTTCTCCATTTGTAGTGAGTCTGGGACACTGAAGTTCCATTACGGAAAAAAACACTTTCTTTCTGAAAATATAAAAACAGCCGATAAATTTGCGATCACAATGTATTATTAGGAAGGCATAAGATTACTCTTTTTTGTTTCTTATGATGTCATATTATTGTGTTGTGACGTCATAAATGTGTAATATGACGCCACTATTTACTATTTCTATGACGTTTGAATATAAAGCTTTCTATGACGTTTGAATATAAAAGCTGCGAAGCGAAATAGTGGGTTATCTGAAATTTCATTTTAGACGAAATATCGAATTTTAATACGTTACAATTGATGACGTCATTGTTAAAATTGCTTTGTATTGGTTTTCTCTGGATCTGTACAATTTGCCTGTAACATTTTTTAGTGAGCTTTGGAAAATCAACCAGTGCAAGGAAGATACGAGGATTGTCTATAATAGCTTTGTTCCGGAAATCAATTCCGTAATCGTCAAAGCCGGCGGAACCCCTCTAGTTCTCACCTCGAAGTTATAGGCCATTCCAAGATGAAAAGATTTTTTTTTAGTTCCCATATTCTGCCGTATAAACTTCATTATCATTTTCATGTGATCGTTGTTATAAATATTCGCCAATTTACCGTCAATCTCCTGGCATCTCGATTCTGCTTCGGATCTGTTACTTCTCGCCGTCCCTATTAACGGAGTGAGGGGAATAAACCACTTGCCATCGTATTCCAAACCCTTAGGAGCAGCAGTACTGGAAACTTCTGCAAAAAACTCTGAATTATTTCTTGCACTAATTCAAAAACGTCAGATTAGCAGAATGGCTCACATAATCGACAGCTGTAAGCTGTCCCATTTGCATGTTTTTGAAAAACCAGAACACATCAAGCCTTCCGTATCCCAACTTTGGTGTAGTATTATGGGCTCGCATAATCAGCAGTGATACCACAGTTTTGCATCTTCATCTCGAATAGAAAGGGGTTGTCAAACTTTTTGAGTCGCACCCCCTTTTAGAATTTGTCAAGTCTCGCGCCCCACCTTAAAAATAACTAGCTAACAATAAGCTACAAATAACTGATAGTAAGGCGAAATTATGTTTTATCCAAAAAAAAAAAAAAAAAACACGCTAAAAATACGTGGATGGAATCGCAATATCTAAAGAAATGTGTATGTCCAAAATAAGGAGGGAAAGATCAAATATAACAAAAATAAATTATTTTCAATTAGCATCGCGCCCCTTCAAAAACTTGTCTACGCCTACCTTGTGGGGCGCGCTCCACCAATAGAGACTGCGGACCACTGGAGACTGGATAAACCAGAACACATTGAAGCAAGCCCTCACTACCCCACCTTGGTGTATTTTTAGAAATGTGGTTTAAAACTGCACCCATGGACCGGTAACCAAACGGAGGAATTGCCTGCTTATGGTGGGGCATTACGCGCTAGCAGATTCAAATGGACGTAATGGGCGATTCAAGTCTATACGATCAGAAAAAACAGCTACGAAGCATTGAATTCAACATAATTGAAGATCTTCAATTCGGCGTAGGTAAACCATCTAAATTATGACGCCATTTTTTTTTATCGTATGACGTCATTATTCGATATTGTGATGTCATGGATAAATATATTCAAAAGTTCCTGGAATATGGATGCTACTTCTTGTTGAAATATTATTGGCGATATTTTGCACAGATCGAATCATCCGATGAGCTTTCCTCTCCTCCAGGGTAATCATAAAAATATTATCCTAACCTGTGGTCGCAGTCATGGTCGGTACTTGGTGTGTGGAAGCAACAGAAGTGACTGATCGAGTTGTGAACACGTTTTCGATCACTTTCGACGTTGTGACGTCATCAGCTTTCCTGGTGCGGCTGCTACTCCTTACTGCAGATGACGTAACGGCTTTAGTGATGTCATCACTTTTTGTGGTGGTGACGATAGTCGTGTCATCCAGTCCATCCGCAGTTGTGACGTTAAACTTGGTGACTTGGGTTGAATGAACTTCGTTAACATGGTAAATATCGGTTTCTATGGTAACCTCTTCGATTTGCTTATCCAGTAACGCCTTTTCAAGCGTTTCGCTTAATTTTTCTCTTAATTCTGTGAACAAATAAAACGTGTTAACAATATTATGTTTTAAAATTTCTACTTTGTATACTGACTCCGGCCCCCACCATCTACTCCGGATAAACTCCGACTACCACTCTCGTGTCCAGGGACGGAGCTGAGTCGCAGCTTGTCAAGTTTTACTGTGGACTCAACCAGGTGTGCTCCACAGTTTACATGGCTCAGGGTAATATGAATTCAGCTGCACAGGAGACATTCCGGTCCAAGAATGGTACCGGTAGCTCCTTACTTCCAAGTCAAGTCCATGCTTCTGAAAACAAATAACTGGCAAACTAATCCTGTACCCGACCTGGGCTGGTAACATGGCGAAATTCGCCATACGATTAAGCCGTCTTATCAAATTTCCTCTCCTCCGGAATAAATATAAAAATCCTATCCTATCCACTTATCTTTAGATAACAGTTGCTGCATAGAGCCTTAATTAATAAAACTCTAAATTTACTTACTAATATGCATTTACGTTGAAAGTTATCCCGTTACTCACCTTGCTCGTTCTTTGCCTGAAAAACAAAACAATAAAACTGATTAAGTTACGAAAGGGTTAATAGACATCAAACTAAGCGTAATATGAACCACAATTACTCACCGTGATCGTTTCCTGATTACTGTATGACGTCATCAACGCACTGCCTCTGAACCGATCTTTCACAAAGATATCGACTGAGAATAAAAATAACTATTGTTAGTTGTTTATTGGACTCAAAACTCGACTGGGGAAATAAAAAAGGAAACGTTATTTCGACCTCCGTTCCGACTTCGAATATATGTAAGACTCTGGACTTCGTAGAATTCAAATTTGAAATCTCAACACCAGAGATTAAGAAAAAATGACTGCAACTCCGGAGAATTCAAAAATGAGACTCCGACTCCTGGGATTCGAAAATAAGACTCCGACTCCGGAGAATTTAAAAAGAAGATTCCAACTTTGGAGATTCGAAAAAAAGATTTCGACTTCGGAATTACGAAAATAAGACCGCGACCCCGGAAAATAAAACTCCGACTCCCGAATTACAAAATTAAGACTCCCGACTCCGGAAATTATGACTCCGACACTACAAAAATAAGACTCGAAGTCAACTCAGGAAGGATTCGGAAATAAAACTTCTGACTCCGGAGATTCGAAAATAAGACTCCGACTACGGGGATTCGAAATTAAGACTCCAATTCTGGAGGATTCGAAAATTATACTCCGACTCCGCAGGTCTCTAAAATGGGATTCCACTTCTTGAGAGAGAATTCGACTTCGTCTCAGGAGAATTTAAAAATAAAACTCCAACCCCGGAGATTTAGAAAATGAGACCCCGACTACGGAGAATTCGATAAGCAGACTCCAGCGATTTTAAAAAATAGACTCCGACTCTGGAGATTACAAAAATAAACTCTAACAATGAAAAATAATAAAATAATACTCCAACTCTCGAAAATATCCACAATACCAAGCTGAGCTCCTGTATTTTCTAAATATTCTTGCCCGCACATATATTCAATATTTTAAAAAATATCATTACCTGTAGTGGCGACACCAATGCACACGAACAGAACGATGAATTTGAATGTTTCCATAGCAACTTCCTATATTCCGCGCAAAATTTAGTCAGTGGGCGCCTGCAATCCTTTCACGAGCACTATTATCTGAGAAACCGAGACTTAACTTCAGCAAACGTGGTAAAAAAACTTCCAAACCAAACTAACTGTTGCTGTGAATGAACGGCACAGCCAAAATAGCGAATCATATTCCTGCCCTTACTTCCACAATCTCACACTGTCAGAAAATTTGCAAATTTAATCGCAATTTTAAAGTAATTCTAACGTAAGACTTGTCCAATAAGTTTGTTTATCCACGACTCATACAAGGGCCGATGATAATTAAAGCTAATTGACTCTAAGGTTAATGTGTGTGTTTTATTTCGGCATCGACCTCAATCTGCATACGGTTGTATGACATCATAGATCGTTATAATGCTTCCGCGTATGCATTGTAACAGGTAAAATTTATTAATATGATAACGTGAATTATGCCTATGCGGGACATCAGGGAATATATTGATATGTAGCAAAAAACGAAATGCCCGTGCCTATACATACAATGTAAGTGTTGGGGGTTGGGGGTCAGCGCGCGCACAACTATGCACAGGATTGTATAATTTAATGATAAAATGCTAAAAGTCGAATCTGATTCCTCATCCGAGATAATCGAAATTTGCTGAAAAAAATTTCAGCGTATGCAAGCTTCCCTAGGAACACAAACCTCCAGATAAGAAAAAAAATATAAGAGACGGCTCAATTCTAAAGCGAACTATGCTTTGTTATAGCTGTTTCCCTAGACAAGCGGTTTACAATCGGAACAAAGAAATACTGACGGTAGAGTGGTTGAACTGACCTAGTCGCGTCTTAACTTCTATACTGGGATATTTTGCTATGTTTATATAATATAAACTATAGCTTATGGCAGGGATGGATATATTATGGCCAGCGTACCGGATCCGGCCCACTTGTGTCTGCTGGAATTTAGTAATGGAAATAGTTTTGCTGCTGAAATAGTTTTAATAGATATAAATTTCCGTTGAAAATACCGAATCGTCGTCTACATCAGTTCCATTAATCATTGTGACACTCAGTACACTAGCTAGCTGTTTGTTGGGTGCTCCCGAAGTATTTGTACCAAGATGGCGCACAACCTGAACATAGTATGTGTACCAGGTTAGGGTTATTCAGGTTGTGCGTCATCTTGGTACGAATATTTCCGGCGCGCCGTTTGTTGTACATTAGCTGTTGCGCTAGTTATTTGTGATTAAACCTAATTTTTTTTGGCACTCCAGAAGTATGTGCACTAAGATAGCGCACAACCTGATAACCCTGGGTGCTTAATAGAAGCTCGTCTGGGGCCTTGTTTTGAGTGAAGACGTGAAAAATCCTGCCCGCATAATCTCTCCCCATGCTTCATTCAATAGGCTACGTGATTTACATTCAGTTTATTGAAAGCAATGTATATTTAAGCAAGCAATGTAAAGCAAAGTATTATTACATGATTACTGAAAGTAACAGAACTAAGGGTGTATTTCTGGGCGCGAATTAAAATAATAAAAATTACAAAAGGCACGCGAGAAAATTATGAAAAAAAAACGGTTTACTACAAAACACTTCTTACGCCATTAAGTAGATCAAAAACTACAATTAAAGCGATTCACAATACTAAAGTAAATATATTTCAGTCGTTACAACAAGGTTGTGGGGTCGCAGTTTGGCGTATATGAGTCCTGGTACTGAATTTAAAAGCGGACTTTCGGATATCAGAGCTTTGAAATGTCAGGAAAGAAATTTTCATCTGGATCAAAAAAGATTTAGGTTGGAGTAACCGCAGTTGAATTTTTTTTATCCCCCAGACTGCCCCTGGGTAGGCGACATATGGCGGTAAACAAAAAAGTGCACAAATGTTGAGACTTTTTGAAATGGGCAACGTATCCTGAAAGTTTAAGAACCTCTGGCTTTATGTCCGATGAGGTGAGAAATTTAGAAAAGGATGTGTCGTAATCGTTTGTGGTGAAGAATTCTTCGTTATTCAATTCCCTGGTATAATTTTGCTTAGAATTTTGTATTCAACTGCAATTTTTATTCACCCACATATGAAGAAATATTTACGACACAACAATATGACGTCACCATTTCTAAAAATTATCCATTTTCCCCCCTCAACTAGATTATGAGTGTGCCATAAATTACAGGCAACCACTGCCCAGTCAAAAGAAAGGTCGTAAGAATATGCAGAATGAGTTGCTATTCATGTCCGAGCTTTACATTGGATGATATGCAGAGGTTTGATAACCTTTCGTCGATGGAGTAATGCTACGAACGACTTCCCAGCTGTTTTTTCGTTCGTCGTACAGTTCTATAGTATCCGCAGGGGGTTTAGCCTGCGTATTATTTTGCGGTCCCAAATCCCCCCCGACAGCGTAAAGTTTCCCTTCAACAACACAAGCTGTCAAACCGAATCTAAATCGGGACATATCTGCGATCCTCTCACTTCTCCTATATCGTGGATCGAAACGAACAACTCCTTTTCGATAAGAGCCGCAGCCTAGTATGTAAACCACGCCATGTAGCGCAACGATTGGATAATTCCCGTCACTAATTCCGACATCAGATTCTGTGAAATGATCCCACTTGTAGTTATCTGGCTCGTAAATTAGTAAGCACACTCTGTCGCCACCTGAGGAGGACTGGCCGGTGATGTAAACGCGCCTCTCATCCGCAATAACGTTGTAGAAACGGCCGAAGTGATACTTCGTAGGTGCAACAGTCGACCACGTTTTTGCTGAAATGTCATAAAAACCTGTCCCGTGTATGTAGATTTGGTTTCGAAACTTTGTGAAATTTCTGTGAACGTTTAATTGATTTTTTGTTGGCATTTCTTCAATTACATTTTCCCAATTTCCATCCGAACGAAGAAGATATAAAAGCCCTTTGAACGACACAAAAATATCATTTCCAAAACATTTCAGGTTCGAGTATTGTCGGACTCTACATAATGTCGTAGAAACATTTGTCTGTAGCCCATGCGCTTCTATTTTGCCGGTTTCCCCATTCAAGGTAAGAATGCACGGATAAGAAGGCAGCCTGAACTCGTTCGACGCATCGTCTTGGTTGATAAAGTAATTCAGCAGCAAATCTTTACAAATTGCTGACTCCATTACAAGCGGCTCCAACTGTAGAACTTCACAAATTAAACCGCGTGGAATGTGTTTCAAATCAATCAATTTAAAAAGTTTTGGAAATGTTTTCTTTCTCGCCTTTTCATCATGTTTAGCCCACTTCAGGATAGCGCAGCATTTGTCTTTTTCAGAAGCAGCGGTTATCGGGGAACTTATAAATCTGGCAACGTCATCTTGTGATAAATCTAAGAATTCTTCCCTTGTGGCGACGTCGTTGAAATTCTTCATCAGAAATTGGTCAATGATCTCCGTGAAGACTTTTTCTTCTGAAATTTGCTTCGATTTTGCTAAATTACGGAGAATATAGCAGTTTTCTGCGTTTAAATTGGAATTAAAATTTTCTGTGTTGCCAAAAAAGCTCCGAAGCAACATGTTCTGCGCTTTTAAGTTTTCTTGAACGAATCGTTCAGGCCAAACTTTAAAAAGTGAAAATTTGAAAGGGAAATCGAATACTTTTGCTGATTTCCTGAGATTGGGAAGATCTTCATTATCGACGTCTGTATTCTCACGCATCCATGTGACAATAGCTTTCCACTTTACATTGTGCGTAACAATGATTCCCTGTAACACCTCAGTGAGATCGACCAGTGTCACAAAACGAAACTGCGGCGTTGAAATCACTGTTGCCAGATTTTCTTTGAAATAAGTTAGTGCCTGGTTTCTGACTAGTTCATTGCCATAAGTTTTAGCCAAATTCATGGAAGTAAGACAGGTCTGAGCTGATAGATTAGTCTGTAGGAATTGATAGCAAACGCCCAGCAGATCGTGTTGTTGTATATAATGCGAGGCATGAATTATAGCCTGCACATTCTCCTGTGTGACCCTCGGTTCGCCGGTGTACATAAACTCAATGCATTTCTCTAGCGCGTCAGAATCGATACCATGCATTTCAACGAAACCTTGCTCGGTTTCCTCATATTGCTTGAAAACATGGATTCAAAATATCCAGAACAGGCAGCCAAGACATTGCGATGAACGGGGAAAGACTTGGCACCCGCTTTGACATCAAAATCACAGAGAAATTGTTTGTCTTTCATCAGGGTCAGCTTTAGCATAACTTTGGAAGACTGAACGAAATGGCTTGGAGATGGATTCATTTTATGTTTCACTTGGGAGTCTTATCTAGTCTAATTACAAACGTATTTATGCTTTTAAAAACATCAGATTATTGTATATTCGTAACAATTAAATCGGTCCAAAAAGTGCTAGTCACACATGCGTGCGTGGGGAAGTAAAAAAAACAATTAATATAGAAAATATTAAAACTATCGCTTTACATAAGGAGAAACGCTGCTTTACATGATAGTTTTTCTGCAAATTGTTCTCATGCCTTCAAACATTTAAGGAGATTTAGGATGATGATTGAGAAAAAATAAGCAAATATGTATTTTAACGGTTCCAATATTTAAGTCTGAGTCGTCCGACGAAATGAATTCATTGAATGCTGAGGTACCATTGAAAATTTTTCGGCTGTGAAAATTTATTTTCCCGTTGGATGCCCTAAGCTTGTGCTTATTTTGCTTAGTGGTTAATCAAGAACGGGTTCTCTCTGTTTCGAACATCAATTCCAACAGGTTCCCAGTTCCGAAAACCATGCGATGTGAAACCAAAAACGGGTTCAATGATATCACGGAATTTCAAGAACAGGTTCGCTGATATCACAATATTTCAGGAACGGAATCGCTAATATCGCGACATTTCAAGAGCGAGTTCGCTGATACCACGGATTTTCAAGAACGGGTTCGCTGATATCACTAGATTTCAATAACGGGTTCGCTAACATCGCTGGATTTCAGGGACGGGTTCGCTGGTATCACGTCATTTCAGGGACGGGATCGCTGCTATCACAATAATTTAAGAACGGGTTTCTTACTATCGCAATACTCCAAGAACGGGTTCGCTGCTGTCATGTCATTTCAACAACGGGTTTACTGATATCTATATATTTCAAGAATGGATTCACTTCTGTATCCCCCATTTCCGAAAACCATGCCGAAGTAAAACGAGAATGGGTTTGCTGACATCACTACATTTTTAAAAACGTGTTTGCTAGAAACCCCTGATTCCCACCAATGATTGTGAATCATCTCTCAAGAAATACAGTCCATCTTGTTCTTCTGAACTAAACTAACTGTTATGGCTCCCTTTCCAAAGCGATATTAAATGCCTTTTGCACGCAAATTAAGATGACAAGGCAGTACTTGTTGTCAATTGTTTGCTGACTGATAGCGAAGTAACAAATCATGCAAATAACAAACATTGTGCGCTTGTTACGTATTGTAGCGAGGAGGGCGAATCTATATTTATCGTGGAATAAAAGAGCACGGGTCGCAGATATTTAATCTATGCCTGCACCAATAAGAAACTAGCTGCTGCATTTTGTCTTGCGAATTTCATATAATTAGGATTAACTATATACGTGAAACAAAAAACGGGACAGGGCGAATTGGATTCGATACCGAGACTTGGTAGTAATATTCAACTCATATGAATATTAGTAATATTCAAATCATTGGAAAACGCGCTCTTTCTTTTCGTCATTTTGGATAATTTAACGGCAGTACAGGCAGTACGTTAGATGTTAAATCGACGTATTAAACATATAATAATTATGACATAACAATACAGTTGTTCTCTCACTCTCTCTCTGAACTCTAGTGAAGTCGCAAAACAGTGATAAATGGACTGCCTCCAGTAACAAAAAAATTGTATTGATATTAAATAAACAGAATGTTTATAACTGCCATACTGTATGACCGGGATATTTAGGTCTACCGGACGGGATAGCTTGTCAAATAAGGCTGTCCCGGCTAAACCGTGTATGGTTAGCTCACTCATAATCCTTGGTTTAACATCGTGTCGTTTTATGTTTTACGCATATCAAGACCGAGGCAAATTCTTGATTCGATTTTATGAAATTCATTCATGTGCGACAATTAGGGCTGGGAATTTCAGAGAAAAGATATTAACCGTTAACCGGGTAAAAGTGACCGGTTAACCGATCGTGACGTTTGACGTGATCATTTTTGAAAAAATTTCACAGTATAAAGGGTAAGGAGTTGTCAGTTAACGGTCAAAATATACCCTAACCGCTAACCATCTAAAATCGGTTAACCATTTCCAGCCCCAGCGACAATACGATTTCGCGTTCATAAGAATTAGTTAAAAACGTTGCTACGGGGAAGTTTTACATTCTGGGAGAATTCTATTTCCGATCAGTTTTTAATCGCAACCATCCTGCTTTGTTAATATTTTATATTTCTGTGTTGTTAATTATAGGCTGAAAAAATGAACTGCAAAGCAGCATCTAGTTTTGAATATCCCCAAAACATTCGGCGACCCCTGGGACCCCCGAATTTCAGTTCATTCAGCCGTTCGGTTCGTAAAGTGCTTAATTTCGCTGGCAGTAAACACTCTGTGTGATGACACTAAAGACTTCAAATAATTTATGACGTAACATTCAAATACTTGTGACTAATAATAGACAAAGTAAATAGAATTGTGACGCAACTATTCCAAGTATGCTGAAGTTTGTGGTGTAATAAATTAAAATTTTCCTGTTTCAAAAAAATAACTCTGCATGGATCTTAGTGTGTTAGCAGTCGCTTCTATCAGTACCATTCCCACTTTGAGTTGAGTGGTCGGGACCATGCTTTGAGCAAAAAAATATCTATATATTCTACCTATAACTATTCGCTTATTCTGTCAGTTTAGGTTGAGTTCTCAGGCTCAGGGCACTTCTTTGAGTGAGTTTGCATAAAAAAAACCTCAATATGTCAGATCAGAACTTTTTCCGGTGCTCCAGTAGTATTCGTACCAAGATGGAGCACAACCTGAACATAGTGTGTGTACCAGGTTAGGGTTAGCAGGTTATGCGCCATCTTGGTACAAATACTACGGCAGCTCCCTTTTTCCACCTTAGCTGATGACTCATGACCATACTTTGAGCGAAAATATGTCCCCGTTTAGGATTTGCCACTGTATGTAAATAAGTTAGAAGACTCAAGATTGCGGATTGGTTATTTTTTTATACGGCAAATCTATACTCAAAACAGCAAACTCAACTCAAAAGCAGTCGACGTTCAGCCTTTCTCGACGACAGCGTTTTAGGTGTCGCTGCCTGAAGACCTCTTGAGGTCCCTCGCGACTCCTGTCACACAATTTAAGTTAGTTTCCACTTGTATTTGTAATGTTTTTTCATATATCTTACCATGTTTAAATTGTGTTGACGAATAAATGATGATTGATGATTGATTGACAAGAAAGCGAATTTTTTTTTTCGCACGTGTAATGTAACTTTTTTATGGCCCTGTGGTTGTGTGTGTGTGTGAATTGATTCAATAATTCAATAGTTTTAGGTGAGTGAACACGTACCACTTCTTTTTGGCAAAACCTTCTATCTTATATTCTGTACGTTTTAAATCTCATCCAAGGTTTTGTTTGCTCTCCTGATTTCATAATCAGTTTTTATTTATTCGTTTTTATCAATCATTTAATCGCCATATATGCTGATTATGGAGTCGAAATAAACTTATCTTATCTGATGGTGGTCGTAGTCTCATAATATAAATATCGAATTCGGACGTCACTATGGCCCGTGACACATGTATCAAAAATAACAGTTCGTCCTCGACATTCGTTACCGAAACACCACTATAGTATCCTTGGCAAATATTCTAGCAATAATGTCTTTACGCGTCACTGAGTGCCGTATTCGATTGCTCTTGACATTTATTTTTGTTTTGGTTTGGTCTGTCTGTCTACCGGTCGGAATGTCAAGTGCGCTGTATTACTAGGAGTCCTGAGTTTAATATGGTCATAGTAGGAATTCCATTCTCCCGGATATAAGTAAACTCGTTGGCCGTTCAAGTTTTTTGCCCGGCACTCGGAAAAATATGAATCAGTTTTTTGTAAAGTTTGTTCACTTTAAAGTTGCGAGCGTTAACTTAAATGTAAGGAAAGTGCTGATATGGTAGAGATGGAACCTTGATATTAATCCTGAGGAAAGTTCCTACAGCGAATCATTCACAGGCCAGCGTTAGGCCACATAACCTATACGGCCGTAGCGGGCATCGCACTCCATATCTCCGCGCTAATTCTTGGTGTATGCCAGGGTTGTGCATCCCATGGGCCAAATGCAGCATACAAAGGAAATTGTGAGGCCCGCGGATAGGGTATACCCAGTAGTGGGATTCAGCCGGTTTGCACCGGTTCTATAGAACCGTCTCGCGGAATTTTATGAGATCAGCAAACCGGTTAGATTTACTGGTTACTCTCAATGTTCTGTTTGTGACAGAACCGGCTGAAAAATATGACTTTTGTGACATATATGTCAAAAGATCAATAACCAAAATTGTTGTGACTATCGTGCTGGGTTCATTAACTACTGGACCGATTGCCTTGACATTTTCAATGTTCGAAAATTGTATTTTCACTATTTTTATTTATTCCGAAACCTTATGTGGGCTCTATAAGATTCAATTTTCCCTCCAAAATTTTGTGTGATGACCTCTTTCAAAATTAATGAAATTTATTTGTAGCGTTTCGACGACCTCTCTCGTGCTACGCTAAAGTCGGTTCGTTTTGCCTTTTGTGTCCATATATACGAGCGTTGTTCTCTTTTTGTAAAAGGTTTTTATTTAGTCATAGTGGGCCTTATTCGGATTGAATTCTTCTAGGGGAAACAGTTTCTAAAAAATGGGGAGTCTTTCCTGTCTACGTGTAGGGGGTACGTGGACAGGCATATGAATGTTGGAAACAAGCTGAATTCAAAAACGTGTTTAATTGTGTATATACTGGATTTTTGGTTCGTGTACTGACTAATGGCGCTAGAGAGCGGCCCGGAAACAAAATTTTTAAAACAATTTGACGCGGTTTCTAGGGCTTTT